TTTCCCCTACGGCAGAGGGGGCAGCTGGTCGCCATTAAGACCTACTTCCTAATAGTGATGATTCAGGTAGCACAGAGACTGCCCACTTTTGGTTTTTGTGCAGTTTTAATATTTTTAACATAGATAATATACTATTGACCATAATCTTCATTTTGTTTTAAATTAGACCCTGAAGCAAGAATGGGAATGTGAAAGAGATTTATGCCTAGAAGATCTACGAAAAGAATTATCTGCAAAGTACCAGTCAGAAATGGAGTATTTACAAAACCAGTTTCAAAAAGAACTGACAGAACAGAAAGCTGAATTGGAGAAGATTTTTCAAGCCAAAAATCAGGCTGAATGTAAGCATTTAATTAAAATGAGCAAGTTTGGCAGGGGCACAACGTTTTTTGGGTAATCATAAAATAAAAATCATGTAGCTTGCCACATATGAACATGTATTTCCTACCTTTTTTTTTTTTTTTTTTGGGAGAGGTTTTTGCTATAGGGTGCATGTGCTTACCAGAAAGACAGAGAGAGAGAGAGAGAGACAGAAAGCAACAAATCACGCCCCAGGGTGTATGGCCACACCACAATCCCTTCTCCTCCATTCGCCTCTCGGGATCTTAGGCACACATGCACATGCTCCCGGCGTGAGTTTAAGCTGCTGACTCAAACTGCAGTTGACTACATGGGAGTCCAGTGACATAGCCATTATGCCATCTGCTCGTCCTGATTGTTTGCTTTTATTAGTATGAGATAGTATGGAGATAGGTTTTATTTTTTATTTAACATTATTTATTTTTATTTGATGAGGGAGAAAGTGAGAAAGTAAGTTGCTAGGTCTGGGATTTCAACCGCAGCCAATCATGTGGGAGTCCAGCACTCTTTTTTTTTTTTGGAGAGATTTTCACTGTAGGGCGCGTGCACTCACCAGACAGACAGAGAGAGACATAGAGACATAAAGTGAGAAATCACCCCCCATGGGGGATGGTCACGCCGCAATCCCTTCTCCTCCATTCTCCTCTCGGGATCTTGGGCACACACGCACACGCGCCCGGCGTGAGTTTTAAGCCACCGGGTCCGGGACACGAACCGCGGTCGACTACGTGGGAGTTCAGCGACATAGCCATTACGCTAACTGCTGGTTCCCGGGAGTCCGGCACTCTTAACCACCCAAGTGGAGATAAATTTTCTTTTTTTCTTTTTTTTTTTTTTTTTTGCTAAAAGGACATGTGCTTGTCAGAGAGAGGGAGAGAAGAAAGCACCTCCCAGTGGAGCACGGTCATGCTCTGCAGCCCTTTGTCCTCCGTCTCTCTCCCCTTTGGGCAGGCATGCACACATACCCAGTGTGTTTCTCAAGCTGTCTGATCCACACGGTCAGCCAGGTAGGATTGCGCTGCCTTAACCACCAGCCTATGGAGGTGGACCTTCCTTCCTTCCATGAATGACAGACAGACACCCCCTGAGTCCACATGCCATGACCCACCCCAGTCAATTCTGAGTCATGGGTATGTGTGAGCCTAATCAGTGAGGTCTCTGGATATGAACCTGGAACCTTTTTTTTTTTTTCCTTTTTTCTATGTGAGTTGAGCAACTTAACCATTATGCCATCTGCTGGTCCTGGAAGGTGTATTCTTTCTTTATTTTTTTTTTTAAGAATTATTTTATTTAACTTTAATTTGATTAGAGAGGGACAGAGTGAGAGTGAGAGGGAGAGAAGAGAGGGAAAGTGAGAAAGCAAGCCACTGGGCCCAGGACTCAAAGCGTATTCGGCCATGTGGGAGTCCAGTGCCCTTAGCCACCATGCCATCCTCCAGCCCCTGGAACCTTCTTTTATGGTTCTCCTCACAGTATTGTGTTTCTACTACACCACTTTGGCAGAGCCATTGGTTGTCAACACGTTTCATATTCCAGGGGTACATGTTTCAGGGTGACACGTGCAGTCAGGTAGTGCTGTCTATGTGTGCTTGTGTATTTATCATCCATCTCTAGGGGGGATGCAGGGTGCATGCAGTATGTGGGATCAGGACAGAGCCTGCCTGCCTGCCTGCCTGCCACTCTGATATGAGGCACCATTGACATGTGTGAGCTCCTACCTGAGTGAGACCTGGCAGGCAGCTGTGTCAAGTAAAAGTTGCTGTTACCACTGATGCAGGTGTGCTGCCAGGACCCAGCTGTAGAGAAAAAAGCTATCTGGTATGGACTATGTGAGTTATGTCTGCTTTACAGCTACCCTCCAGGGCCTGGAGTCTCAACATCAAGCAGCCATGGAGAAGCTTCGTGCAGACCTGCAGTCTGAACATAGTCAGTATCTCGAGGAGCTGGAGTCAAAATTCAGAGAAAAGGAACAAGAGAAACAGCGAGAGGTATGCCAGAGATTATTTATTTTGAATGCCTTGGTACATAAGGGATTTTTTTTTTTTTTAACAGATTTTTACTATAGGGCATGTGCACTTGCTAGAGAGACAGAGAGCGACAGAGAGACAGAAAACAATAAATCCCCCCTCTGGGGGGATGGCCATGCTGCAATTCCTTCTCCTTTCTCCTCTTGGGATTTTGGACACACATTGATGCACATGAGCCTGGTGTGAGTTTTAAGATGCCAGGTCCAGGACTGAACCACACTTGACTACGTGGGAGTCAAGCAATGTAACCATTACACCTTTTGAGGTTATAGGGTTTATGAGGTAGTTTCAGTAACTGTTTAATCATAATGCTCAGAAAATGCCTATTTGCCAGCATCCCAGAGAGAGAAGAGAAAAAGAAAGTCAAACAGGTCTCACACTGTATTGTTCCTTACAGCCTTCCCAGCCAGCCAGGATCCCATTGTGTGTATAGCATGTACAGGTCAACCTGATGGGAACTGAACCTCTATTTTTCATTTGGCTTTAGCATTGTGAAGCAGCATGACACCACCATGCCTCCTCCACATCCGAGCTTCAGAATACTTTTCTAATGAAAATAGGAAATTTGTCCAGATCCTAGTTGGAGGCTTCAGTACTTTTATTACCAAGCCCAGGAAGCAAGCAATAACCTCAGCATTAGTTCAGGAAGCAAAAGAAGAAATAAACCAGAAGCTGGAATTTATAGTAGTATATGCAGAGATTTATGGCCTGAGAAGATGGGAATGGAGGTCTTGGGGAGGCCTGTCTAGGACTCTTGTCTGTCTTTTTTTTTTTTTTGGAGAGGTTTTTGCTATAGGGCATGTGTGCTTGCCAGAGAGACAGAAAGTGAGAAATCACCCCCCAGGCGGGATGACCACGCCGTAATCCCTCCTCTATTCTCTGCTTGGGATCTTGGGTATGCATGCACACACGCCTGGCGTGAATTTAAGCTACCGGGTTTAGGACTTGAACCACAGTTGACTACATGGGAGTTGAGCGACATACCCATTATGCTAACTGCTGGTCCCAGGACTTTTGTCTCTTAGTCTAGGGCTCCAGCACCCACAAACCTCCGTCTCCTCCAAATAATGGCCAGGCTGGGATCATTGCATCTCCCACAGACTCCCCTTCACTGATTCACTGATGGGGGAAAGAGGACTAGGCGAATAATTTCTGTCCAGATGCCCACAATGAGGAAGTACTGGATGGGCTGCTTCTACATGGAGTGCAGACAGCTTCAGGGCCAGCAACTCGTTGCTGTAGGTATAGTCCAAAGAGGCTGCATCCCTCAGAGCGATCCTGTCTCATCAATGGGACTGTGGCTCTTGAGGAGGGAGAGGTATGGCTGGTCCTGCAGCCCGGACTGCCTTGTCTTTGGCTATGTGCTGTCATCTTCCTCATTGGTCAGGAGGTGCATACTTACTCAGTGAGAGGGTACAATTGTGTGCAGGGAACAGGGCCCAGGGTCTGAGCAGGTACCTGTAAAAGTAGAATCGTAAGTTGCTGACAGAAAAAAGACCAGGCCACTAGAGATAATGATATTTTTAAAAACAAGTTATACTTTTCTTCTTTTCCTAGTGTTTTAAAAGTCCTTATGCTGGGGACAAGCAGTTGGCGTAATGGCTTTGTCACTGGACTCCCACATAGTTGACCTCGGTTCAAGTCCTGGACCCGGTGACTTAAAGTCACACTGGCACGTGTGTGTGCGTGCCCAAGATCCCCAGAGGAGAATGGAGGAGAAGGGGTGCGGCATGGCCATCCCCCCTGGGGTGTAATTTCTTCCTTTCTGTCTCTGGCGAGCGCACGCACCCTATAGCAAAAACCTCAAAAGAAAAAAAAAAAAAGTCCTTATGTTGGTAAGACTGTTGGGAAGTCCCACTTGGGTTTCTAGTGGGGGCAGCTGATCAGCCAGCACAGCTTAGTCCAGGGCAACATGCATAGATGCTGTGAAGAAGTAAGGAGCCTGACTCAGCCTGATATCGGAGTGTTAGTCCCTAGCAGGAGCTCAGGCCATCAGACCTTGTGGTGTTGCCTGTGGGCTCTCAGGGAAGTTTAGTGTCAAGGATAAGAGGTAACCTGCTACTCTAATGTAGAACATGAAAAACAAGACCTTGCATTGCGAGTGGTGGGTACAGGGGCTTAGTATGCCCCCCTGGACCATGCTCCAACATTAGCAGGTAGAATGTGAATGGAGTTAAGACTGTTCTTATAGTCTGTCCCATGCTATATGTGACTCATACTTCACCAAGTAGGTAGCATCGCCATCATGGGCACACAAGCAGACGGTGATGTTGTGGGGAAATCACCAGGCTGGCACACTCAGCTGGGCACATGGCCCTGCGGTGTATCCCTCCTTAGCTGAAGTTGTACTGTCAACAAACCCAGACGTTACTGTTGTTTTGAGGGAGCTCAGCCTTGTAGAATTCTCGATTAATACTGGCTCTGACCTCACCTGTCTCCTGGCAAGCCCTGTGGTGGCTGCCAAGTTGCAGGTTTAGGCTGCACTCGAACTCTGCTTATGTTTGTCCAGTGCCTTTCACAGGCACAGAGTGCAAGTGACAATGCAGAATTGCACAGCTCACTTCCTTTGGCTCGATTTCAGTAGATCTTCACATGATGTTGTCCTATTCCACAGTTAGAGAATCTTCACTCGTCATACAAAGACCTGAAGGCTCAGTCCCAGGAAGAAATCAGGCACCTCTGGTCCCAGCTTGATTCTGTAAGAACCAACAGACAGGAACTGAATGGTAAGAAATTCATGTTCTTAAAAGCTAAACTATGTGTTTTTGGTCATTGAAATTCCAGACTGGAATTTGACAGTTGTAACAAAAACAGGAAAAGTAATTTTGTAAACCTGCTTTATATCTTGAAGGCTGAGGCGTGTAGTTTTAAGATGGAGATTTTTTGGTTGGGAGAGAGCCTTGGTCTATTCGTCAGCAGAGTCCCATGACTTGCTGGGTTACGTCTCCCTAATGTTGAGAACAATGTGGATGTGAAGTGTTTTCAAGAGTAAGATGAGTAGTTTCCCAGTGATGCTGAACTTCTCCCCAGGGACTGTGGTTGACTGCTGTGGAGATGCAGCTCTCAGCAGATGTGGTGCCACAGTACTGCTCTGCTGGATGTTGGGTTTACCTCAGGAATGAATCATCAGGCTTATGAGCCCTTAAGCTCTAGCATTGGAAGTGGCGTCCCAGTGTCTAGGCCCTGGCAGCTGCATCCACTTTTGCTGAGGACAGCTCAGCTCAGGGTCCCCTACAGCCAGATTCCCCTGAAGATCCTAAGTCTCAGGCCCCCCCCATTCTATGTGGAGGTCTCGGTGGGGAGGATGAGCAGCATAAGGGCAGGCAGAACCACTGTGCTGCAGGTCTAGGACAGGGCAGCCCAGCACAGGCAACCAGTCCTGGGCCACGAGATGAAAACAAACCAACCTGGAACCAGCAATTAGCGTAATGGCTATGGTGCTGGACTCCCATGTAGTCGACCGCGGTTCGAGTCCTTGACCCGGTAGCTTAAACTCAAGCCAGGCGTGTGTGCGTGCGTGCCCAAGATCCTGAGAGGAGAATGGAGGAGAAGGGATTGCGGCATGGCCAGCCCCCCTTGGGGGGGGTGATGTCTTGCTTTCTGTCTCTCTGTCTCTCTCTGTCTTTCTGGTGAGTGTACACGCCCTATAGCAAAACCCTCTCCCAAAAGAAAAAAGAAGAAAGAAAACAAACCAACCTACGTCTTCCTGGTACTCACTTACAGGCAGAGCTTTTGAGTCTAATTGTTCTTTTGAGTGAGTGTGTTTGACAAAGAACAGAACAAGAAGGGCCAGAAGCCCTCTGGGGCCACTGTCTGCTATGTGTGGTGAGAGGGCTTGGGCTCTGCCTCCCAGCCCATGCTCCAGGTGTGGCAGAAACTTATCTATTTGTCTTTCTCTGCGGTCTGTGTATCACAAAGGATGTAGAGCACAAGGTGAGAGGCCCCAGGTGGAGCTTCCACACATGCTCCAGTGTGTGCTGCTACAGCATCTTGCGTCGAGGGACCCATACAGGGGACGCAGGTTAGGCATCTCTGGTGTGGCAGCCAGTGGAAGCCCACATTGTCAGTTGTTGGTCATAATAGACCTACTGGCAGCTCTCTGGGCTGTGGTTGCCACAGGGACAAGTTTGCTCATGTCCTGAGGCTGTGGGACAAGTTGCCCTAAACTTGGTGTAGGGAGTGACCTGCCTAAAACAGTGCAAGGCCATGGCTTGCAGAGGGTTTGACTGGTGACCGAGTTTCTGCCAGGGTCCCTCAAGGCATTGGCTTCTATGTGTTCACCTGAATCCAGCCCATATGGGTTGTGGCAGAATCCAGTTCCTCATGGCCATCAGACTGACATCCCACTCTCACTGGCTGCCAGTGGGCTGCTTTCAGCATTGAGAGGCTGCCTATGTTCCGGGCCATATGGACTATGGCCTTAGGTCCCAGTCTCCTGGCTCTTGATGCACCAGTGAGAAGTTCTGTCTTCTAAGGGTTCATGGGATGTGAAGGCCCCAGTGTGTTTGTTACTCACGGGTTCTGGGACTGGACTCATCTCAGGATTCTGCCCCACACATGGGGAGGAGTCCTCCCTATGTCCTGGTGTTTCTGGAGTGTTTAATTTATGATGATGGCCTGATTTCCTCCTCTTGAAGAGTCACACATACAGCTCCTGCCTCAAACATCACATGCAGAGGACCTGGAGTTCCTAAAGCGAGACTTTGAGCAGCAACAACTGCGAGAGAAGTCCAAGCACGAGGCCGAGTTGGAGCAGCTGAGGTTGTACTTTGAGGAGCGATTGAGGGTTGCTGAAAAGACATATCAGGAAGACCTGGCTTTGTTGCAGCGCCGGCTGCAGGAAGGGAGGGAAGACTCTCTTCTGGAATCTGGAGAGACCAGGTAAGTGGTGCAATCATGATCTTAAATCAAGTTTCTAAAATAGAGGATTCTGATCTAGTTTTGTGAGTTCTGTTGGTAGAAACTAATAGCCTTGTTGTGTGGTTGGGATTCAAAATAAGACAATATGGTGGGACCAACATTTAGTGTAATGGCTATGTCGCTGGACTCCCACATAGTCAACCACGGTTCAAGTCCTGGACCTGGTGGCTTAAACTCACGCCTGGCGCGTTTGCGTCAATGCCCAAGATCCCAAGAGGAGAATGGAGGAGAAAGGATTGTGGCATGGCCATCCCCCTGGGGGGTGACTTATTGCTTTCTGTCTCTGTCTGTCTGGCAAGCGCACACGCCCTATAGCAAAAACCTCTCCAAAAAAAAAATAAAAAGAATAAAAAAAAAAAAAAAAAAAAAAAAAAGACAATATGCACACAATCACCAGGGCCTCTGGCCTGTATGTTTCTGCTGAGTGGATGACACGGGTTCAGTCATGTCAGTGGCCACAGGTTGCGTGTCACCTAGATCTCCTCCCTCTGAGCTGTGGCACCAGCTGACCGAGTGCAGGCAGCTCTGGCTTCCTGTACCCAGGCATTATCCCATCCTCAGTGTACAGTGTCAGGAGGGACCTGTGCCTTGTGGAGGCAGTTCCCAGGGACAGCGTGGGTGTATGGAAATAGGGATTATAGGTTTTATTTTATTTTTTTTTTAAGAGATATTTTTGCTATAAGGTGAGTGTGCTCACCAGAGAGACAGAAAGTGAGAAATCACCCACAAGGGGGGATGGCCACACTGCAGTCCCTTCTCCTCCATTCTCCTCTTCAGATTTTGGGTATATACACACATGCGCCTGGCATGAGTTTTAAGTTGCTGGGTACAGGATTCAAAACACCGTCGACCCATTGGGAGTCCAGCAACACAACATTATACCATCTGCTGGTCTCGGAACTATAAGTTTTTAAGACATACTTTCTCTCTTAGTTCATCCTGTACATTTTTAGAAGAAACACCTGAAAAGGAAAGCAAACACTGCCTTGATCCACCTGGTCTTCAACATGAGCAACATAAGGTAACGGGCCAGTGGTTTTGTTTCTTTGGTTACCGAGGAAAATTGAGTATCATTACTCTTTAATTTAGAAATGAGTTGATGGGATGTTCTGAATCTGTGCCACCCTCATGGTAACTGTGGAGCATTTACTTTGTGACTAGTGCAGTGAAGTCATTTATGGTGATTCTCGACCTGTCAGTAGCCCTGGGTCTTGCTGTGGTCACTGTCCTGTGCAATATGGCTCTTGACGGGCTTCTGTGGTTCTGAGTGCAGATGTGCTCTGCCTTGCATGACTGCCAGCTTTGGACCAAATGCTACCATTCTTGGTTATTTAGGTTGCATCTTAGCCCAGCTGCTGTAACGAATATCACAGATTATCGCAGGAGGCTTAAATAACCTCAGACATTTATTTCTTAGGCTGGAGTCTAAGGTCAGAGTGCAACAAGGCTGCTTCCTCTCAAGGCCTCTTTCCTTACCGAGTGGAAGGTGTCTTATCCTCGTGTCCTTATGTGTTCGTCCCTCTTCAGCATCTGTGTTCTCATTGCTTCTTCCTGTAAGGTCCCTAGTCATATTGGATTGGGTCACCCTGATGATCTTGCTTTACTATTTTATTTTTTAAAGGTTTTTGCCATAGGGCGCCTGCACTCATTGGAGAGACAGAGACAGTGAGAAGGAAAGTAAGAAGTCACCCCTGATGGGGATGACCATGCCAAAGTCCCTTCTCCTCCATTCTCGGGAATTCGGGCACACATGTATAGCGTGATTTTCAAGCTACTGTGTCTGAGACTTAAACCGCAATTGGCCACATGGGAGTCAAGCACCTTAACCACCTCACCACCTGATGGCCCCTAACCTTGCTTTACCGTAATCATCTCTTTAAAGGCCCTATCTTAAATTAGGTTGTATCAGAGGTCTTGAGTTCTAGGACTCCAGCATATGGGTTTAGGGAGCACACTAGTCTCTAGTCCCCATGGCCACACCCTTGTCCACATGTTTCCATGAACATCTGGTTCCCTCCTCATTGTAGATTGATGTGACACTACTCCCCTGTGTCCACCTTCTTCCTGGCCCAGTGCTCTCGGGGTCACATGTGGGCCAACATGACAGCAGTTGATGCAGCACAGCTCCGGTGCCTTGGGCCCTCTCAGCATCCTGTGTGGACTGGGCATGATGGCAGATGGCTCAGTACAGTCCTTGGGTCATCCTGATGATCTTGCTTTACGATTTTATTTTTTAAATAAAATAAAAGCTCTGCTGGCTGTTGCCCTCTGTGTCTTCTGACTGGGACCTCCCCGATGCTGTTTCCAGGGCCCTTCTGTGCGCCTGCCCTACATTCACAAGGTCGCTGGTAAACAGTCTATGTAGGCATGTTGGTACTGTCATCTGTCCACCCTGGCCTGCCCATGGGACCCCTCTTTATGTCATCCGTTCCTGGCAGTTCTTACATCCCCTGTGCTCTGAGGGATTTGAAAGGTCATGGTCTCTCTGAGTCTACACCATTCTTCATGCTGGAAGGAAGGTGGAGCCTTTGGATCTTAGCCCCTTCCTCCTGGGAACTTTGTTTGGTTTGTTTGGTTTCTCATCTTCCCTTGTAGTCTTTGTCCTTTCTTTGCAGCTCTGAGCTTCATCCTCCACCTCCTGAATGAGCCAAAAGTTCTACTTTTACCTGTCACTGGACATCACTTTGGCTCTCTTTCCCAGGTTGGAGATGTACTCTACTCCCTTCCATTTGGCAGTTACATTTCTTACATTTCTTATTTCCATTGTCATCTTTCATTTGCAGAACTGTGCTTTCTTGCTGTGTCCTTTTTTTTTTCTTTTTTAAGAGGTTTTTGCTATAGGGCACGTGTGCTTGCCATACAGAGAGAGAGAGAGACAGAGAGATAGAAAGCGAGAAATCACCCCCCAGGGGGGATGGCCACACTGCAATCCCTTCTCCTCCATTCTCCTCTCAGTATCTTGGGCATGCACGGATACGCATCCGGCGTGAATTTAAGCCACTGGGTCCGGGACGCGAACTGCGGTTGACTACGTTGGAGTCCAGCGACATAGCCATTACGCTAACTGCTAGTACCGCTATGTCCTTTTTTATATACCTTTCTTCAGTGTCTTAGAGGAAATATTTCTGTTCCTTTTTAAAGATAGTAATCATTGGGTCCTAGATTCCAGCCACCTCCCGGACTGTCTTCCGTTTGTGTGGATCTCTGTGGAACTCAAGGTGGGTGTCCCCTGAGGAGGAGGCTGAACCGTGTCTGTCTTGGCATGGGTATGGAGTTTATGTAGTCTCTGAGCTCCTTGTATAGGCTGCAGCCCAACTGTGCCATCAGTTGGCCCCCTGCCCAGCTGCTTGTGTTCAGGTATTATGTTGTAGTCTCTTGCTGACACCCTGCCTACCTCTGTGCCCAGAATGATGGACACATCTCCCTGCCTTCTGTATGCTCAGCACTCTTGGTGCAGGCTGGGTTATTATTGCTCCCCTGAGCCCACTAGCACCCTGATTCCTGGCCAGCCAGGGCACCTGGAGAGCCCACACTCTTCTCTTAGTCCTTCCCCTTCAAGTCTGGAAGTTTCAACATCCTGGACTCTTTCTTAACGTTCCACAGTGGGCAGACATTGGCCATTGGTTGTTTATTCCCTTGCTACTTTTTCTCATAGATTCTTCTTCCCCATTTATTTATTTATTTATTTATTTTTTAAGAGAGATTTTTGCTAGGGTGGATGTGCTCACTGGAGAGACAAAGAGACTGAAAACGAGAAATCCCTCCCCCACCTCACCCCCACCCTGCTGGCCCCAGGAGATGGCCACACCGCAGCCCCTTCTCCTCTGTTCTCCTCTTGGGATTTTGGGTATGCACGTGCACATGTCCAGTGTGAGTTTTAAGACACTGGGTCTGGGACTCAAACAGTGGTTGGCCATGTGCTAGTCTAGTGATGTAACCATTACACCATTTGCCGGTGCCTCTCATAGGTTCTTTTTTCTTTCTTTCTTTTTAAGAATTAGTTATTTTAAAATTTGATTTGTTATTGTTTTCTAATTTGACCAGACAGAGACAGAGAGAAACGGAAAGCGGGAAAGCAAGCTGTCAGGTCTGGACTCAAACCACAGTTGGCCATGTGGGAATCCAGCACCTTTAACCACCACACCCCCTTTTGGACCCTTTCATAGGTTCTTAAATTAGTTTTTTTCAATCATTTTAGTTGTATCTCAGGAAGGTGAATAGATCAAAATGATGGGTTCTATGTGCATTTACTATAAGCCTAAATATATATATGGGAGCCCTTACCCTGCTGGCCACTGCCAGATTCTGTTACCGATGTATGTTCCTTGTCTAATCGATCAATGGCCAGTGTCTTCTCACAGTTCGCCTTTCTTCAATTACTGACAAGGTTGCATGTCTCCTCACTTATTTACTGAACTCTTTTTCTGTTCCATGCCTTGCTTTCCACAATGTTGCCATTTACTTCTGTGCTATTTGCTCCCCTTCTTGGTCAGAAGTGCCTTAGATCTCTTGTCTTTGAACCTGGTGTGGGTTGTTTTTATGCTTCAGCTCATGGACCCACCCAGAATTTTCTTGAGGGGCAAGGCCAGGCCTGGTGCTATCCCACCCTGTCCTCCCCTGGTTTTTCCTTATCCTTGGGTCCCTGGTTCATTTGCAGAGTGTGGCAGGACTTATGGGACATGAGTGTTTCATCGGCTGAGTCACTTATCCCTGTGGCAGTGTGAAAATTTAAGTCTTCATTTGAAAGATACTCTGAGCTCATTAGGCACCTGAAAGTTAGATTATCGTGACTCTATGGTTTTTGAAGGGAAAAAACAGGACACATATAGGCCTGTATTGAGGATGTCATTTATTCAATTTATTCATTTACTATTTGTTCTTCAAGAACTCACTGAGACCTACACGAGGTAAGACCCTGTTAACAGTGGGGGACCCAGCAGTGATGAGACTCACCCCCTTGGGGACCTTCCCTCTTACGGGGGAAACAGAAGATAGGGCACTTGTCCCACCTCATAGACCCTGGAGGAGCCCTGTAGAGGAAGAAGGACCAATGTGGGGGAAGGAGTGAGACTACAGCAGGTTGATGTTCATGTGGCTTGCAATGTGCTCAAAGAAGCAGAGGGGAACCTGCAGGCTTTGGAGGCCTGTCAGGGAAGCCATGGGGCAACAGCAGGGTTATCCACTAGTTTGAGTCCTCTGAGAAAGTGACATCAAGACACTTTCTGATGCACACAAAGTTATGGGAGATGCCTGATAAGATGTGGGCAGAAGCATCTGAGGATAAGTCCAGCCTCTGGGTGGGGAGCACAGGGAAGGCTTTAGGGGTACGTGGTCAAGTCTGGGAATGGCCCTCCACCCTGTCTTGAGACTCCCAAGAACCAATTTTCTGAGTTCTGGGCATGGGTATGATGATGACGGCAAGTCACAAGAGCCTGAGATTGGATGCTGGATGGCGGACCAGGAATGGGAGAGAGGAGGTCAGAGAGTTTGAATGCACCTCTGCTCTGGTGTGACTGGTGTTGCACAAGTGTGTGGTATTATGGTTTTTATGGAGCTGATGTGTTTTCTTTGAGCACAACAGGAAACATCTTCAGAAGTCACAGTGAGTGAGGTGCTTGGACTCATTGACACATCTGTCGTGTGATTTTTCCATAGGAGGGCCTGGCATGCCCACAGGCAGAGTTAGAGGAGACCCATGGGTGCAGATTGGGAGCTTGGAGGCCTCTTCTCCACATTCAGCCTAGAGAGGACTGCTTTGATGGAAACCACATGGAGATGGAGGAGCAGCACAGCCCAGGTGTGTGTCCCCATGGGTGTTGCAAGCTTGGAAGGGTGGGTGCCTTGCTGTTATCTGATCCCCTTTCTTGAAACACCTACACACTTACACATCCTAACTTGTGCTGGTGCTATGGCTTCTCCCACACAAGCCTCAGAAGGGTTTGGAGAGCACACTTAGCTATCATGATCTCCAGCCCCCATGGCCGCACTGTCTCCCAGATATCACCATGAATGTCTAGTCCCTCTTCCATGCAGATGGGCATGATGCTGTTGCCCTCTCTCAATTTCTCTGACCCAGTACTTTGGGGATCCTATGCATCTGAGCATGATGGCAGTGGCATGGCACAGCCCTTGTACATTGGGTGCTTGTAGGGTCCTTTATGGGCTGAGCGTAATGGCAGATGCCACAATGTAGCCCATTGCATTGGCTCAGCCAGCTGCTGCCCACTGTGCCATCTGCCTGGGACCTCTCTGATGCTGATGGAATTGGGGCAGGGCTTGGCAGTAGAAGCTCATGTCTTCAGGACAGTTTTCTTAGATGAGGTTGGCAGGGGGAGGAACGACATGGGTGGCAACTCTGAGGATCCTGGGCAGTGGTAACTACTCATTCTGGGGGAGCTCTTTCTAGGATCCTCTGTTGTTCATGGCAGGTTAAAGGTAGGCAACCAGGCCTAGCCCATCTGGTTTGTCTGGTTAATCCAAGGCAGTGGGTGTCTCGGCAGAGAATGAGGGTGGTAAGGGGTGATAGGTAGAGGAGAAAGTGCTGTTGTCCCAGAGGTGTGGTCTGAAAAAACGTGATAGTGTTGCTTACATGGATCCCAGGAGTGGGAGGTTGCCCCAGGTGAACCAACATGAGGTATGATGAAGGGAACACTGTTGCCAGCCCATGTGGAGATGAAGAGGTCAAGGGTCCATGTGTAGGCAAATCAGGCTCCTCACTTGGTGCTGTGTCCCTAGAGTCTTTCTCTTGGCCAGAAACTCAAATGGGCTGGATGGACTGCCAGGAGGGACACAGACCCCACCTGAGAGCTGAAGAGCCAACGTGTGGAGGATGCTGTGTCTTCTGCTCCCAGTTTTTCTTGTCCACTAGTGGCTTTCCCACAACTCCCACTTGCTGTACTTGGTCATTGGCCCTGCAGAGCACCTTCTACCCTGTTTTGGCTCATACTTTTATCTTCCTTTTCTGTAGAGGAAGATGTGGCCTCAGTGGGGAAAGTAGCCTGTCCAGCTCACTGACACTGACATGGTGGGGCTGGACTGAGAACCCCTGAGGCCTTGAGCACCCTAGATCTGATAATAGGTGCAAGGCTTCCCCTGGATGGTAATGGAGGTCACAGGTCACATCTGATCGGAAGGAGCAGCCTGGGAGGTCAAGTAGGGCCTGTGCAGACCTATCAGAACATGTCTCTGAGACTCAGGATAGGTATATGCAGGGCAGCCACGGTTGGCCCCAACAGGAGCACTCTTACTGAGTTAACACAAGACTTCACAAATACAAGCTACTGCTACCTAAAGGGCTTGAAGGTCACTGTCCTGTCAGTGTCACAGTGGCCCCCTCCAGCATTGGCTTGGTGCGTGACTGCCCCCCCCCCAACGTCCTGTCCCCACAGAGCTCAATGCAGCACATGTCCAGTGTGCACAGGCGGCAGCCTTGGAGATTGGCACAGAGGCAGCAGCCATGGCCCTGGGTTTGAAAATTGAGCAGAAGGTTAAACTTTCACTTCTTCAGACTGAACTCAAGGAAGAGATCGAATTCTTAAGGCTGGAAAATAGAAATTTACATGAGAAGTTGCAGCATGAAATCCATCTGAATGAGGACTTGGAGAAAGTAAGTAGAGAATTCTCTCAATGAGAAGCTTCCTGCCCAAATTCCTACTGTCTTCCACTGGGGGGTAGGTGAGGTGGGGGGAGTCTTACCAGCCCACAAACCTCCAGCCCCAGTCTCCCACCTGGCCAGGACCCTGGGCCAAGGCATGTCTAGGAACTAAGTTGGGGTCCTCCATGTGGTCTGAGCATTGCCTGGTAGTGCTCCATTGCTTGCACCACCGTGGCTGGGTTTGTCTTTGACTTTTAAGTTGACATTTGTTTTCATTGTATTTTTAATGGTTACTCTTAGGATTAGAACACACCTTCTTAACTTTTAAATCTTATAGTATATCGCATGAACTGTAGGTATATTGTGTAGGTATTTATCACCTTCTCTTTGTCTTTTATGCTGTATTTTCCTTAGGTATTGTATCAATCTATATTATAAACTCCACAATTCAGTATCATAAGATTTGCTTTAAAAAGCCTTTCAACAATCCGAGTTTACATTTGGTATTGTTTCCTTTCTGTCTGAAAAATTTTCTTTGGCATAGTTGCAGACCTTTACTTGAAAAGGTTTCTACTCGGGCTAGCAGGTGGCATAGTGGTTAAGGTGCTGGACTCTTACATGGCCAACTGTGGTTCAAGTTCTGGGGCTGGCAGCTTGAAACTCATACCCCACGCATGTATGTGCATGCTCAAAATCCAGAGAGGAGAATGGAGGAGAAGGGATTGCGGTGTAGCCATTCCCCCATGGGGGATGATTTCTCATTTTCTCTCGCTTTGTCTCTCCCTGTCTTTCCAGTGAGCACATGTGCCTTATAGCAAAAATCTCTCATTTTAAAAAAAAAAGGGGGGGTCCTTATTTCACACTCATTCTTTATTTTTTTAAAATAATTCTTTAATTTTTTTTTAACTTTACTTATTTATTTTTAATTTTGACCAGAGAGGGACAGAGTGGGTGTTGGGGGGATAGCAAAGCAAGCCGCCAGGCCCAGTTCTCAAACTGAGGTCAGCCATGTGGGCGTCCGGTATCTTTAACCACCATGGCACTTGCCGGCCCCTCACCCTCATTCTTGAAGAATATTTTTGCTGCATTAAAAAATTTTGTGTGATAGGACCAGCAGATGGTTTAATGGTTATGTCATTGAACTCCCATGTAGTCGACTTGGTTCTAGTCCTGGATCTGGTGGCTTAAAACTCCTGCCAGGCACGACCAGCCCCGAGAGTGTGCATGCCCAAAATCCCGAGAGGAGAACAGAAGAGTGGGGATTGCAGCATGGCCCTCCTCCCTGGGGAGTGATTTTTCGCTTTCTCTTTATCTCCCTCTGTCGTTCAGATGAGAGCACGTGCCCTAAGGAAAAAACCTTTCTTTAAAAAAGCAAATGTTTTGGGTGCCAGGTTTTCTCATTCAGGATTAAAAAAAGTTTTGGGTGCCAGGTTTTCTCATTCAGGATTTAAAGATGTTTAAAAACCTTTGTTTACTAATTTTGGGTTATATTGTCATTGTTGTGGAGACTCTATATTTACTATTATGTTTCTCTGAAGAGTATTGGCTTTTAGTTTCTGTAGACAGTTAAATTGGCTGAATCAGACTCTGTATCTCCTCTGTTTTGGGCTGCAGTATGATGTTGAGTTCTTTTATTTTGTTGATTTGGATTTGGAGTCTATTCCACATACGCAGTCTTTGTGGTCAACCTGAGACTGGGGGAGGTTTTATTCATGATCCAGGTTGGCTGCGATTGGCAATCTTGAGGGATGCCTTTCTCTCTCTCTCTTTCTCTTTCTCTCTCTCTCTCTCTTTGTCCTCCCATCTCTCTTTTTTTCCTCTTTCATGGAAAAAATAAATAAACTTAAAATAATGAGCCTAAATTTAAGGAACAGTGTAAATTAAGAAATAGGCTTTCCATGCAAATATGAGAGCATAGAAACCCAAGAAAACAGTTCAAGGCCTGTCCCCAGAAACAATGGAAGCACAACAGAAGACTAAAACAAACAGGACTCTTTTGTACTTCTGTTCCTTTTCTACCTTTATTCTTTTTTAAAAATTAATTTTGTTAATATTAAATTGTTGTTATTATTTTTATTTGACCAGAGAGAGAGAGGGAAATTGAGAATGCATGCCACCAGGTCCAGGACTTGAACTGCACTTGGCCTGTAGGAGTCCAGTGCCTTTACCATTATGCTACCTGCCAGCCATACTACTTTCATTCTTTTTGTTTATTTTTTGAAAGGTTTTTGCTATAGGGCGCATGCGCTCGCCAGAAAGACAGAGACAGACAGAAAGTGAGAAATCACTCCCCAGGGGGCTGGCCACGCCGCAATCCCTTCTTCTCCATTCTCCTCTTGGGATCTTGGGCATGCATGCACATACACCTGGCATGAGTTTCTGCCACCGGTTCCGGAACTCAAACCGCGGTCAACTACATGGAAGTCCAGCACTGAGGCCATTACATCATCTGTTGGCCTCACTACCTTCATTCTTAAAAGTCACCAAATTGGGGAACCAGCAGTTAGCGTAATGGCTATGTTGCTGGACTCCCATGTAGTTGACCGTGGTTCGCGTCCCGTACCCGGTGGCTTAAAACTCACGCTGGGCATGTGTGCGTATGTGCCCAAGATCCCTAGAGGAGAAGGGATTGTGGCGTGACCATCCCCCCGGGTGGTGATTTCTCGCTTTCTGTCTCTATGTCTCTCTCTGTCTGTCTGGCAAGCACACGCGCCCTATAGCAAAAAAACCTCCCCCCCCCAAAAAAAAAAAGTCACCGAATTGAATTGTACTTTGGCAGGTCTCCCTTTCCCATTCTTTAGGGCTTTCCTTACATCACATAGCAGTTCTTCTAGCTAAAACAAGTAAGATTATGGAATTTTTATATGTATGGCACAGTTGGATTCCACTTTCTCAAGAAATAAGCAGTGCTATCTCTTCCTTCATAGTGTCAAACACTGCTCCAAGTCTGTCTCTTTGGTTTTCTCCAGGCCTTTCAAGTAGCTTTTTACATTTTATTCAGAGTTTATGATTGGTGTCTCTGCTCAGCCACCATCAAAACTTTTTTTCTTTATTTGCCAGAAGGTATGTGTGCTTACGAGAGAGAGAGCTAGGAAGAGACAGAGAGTCAGAAGAGGGAGAAAGTAGCCCCCCCACCACCACCAGTAGGATGTGGTCATGCCACAGTCCCTTCTCCATTTCTCCATCTTGTCAGGATTTGGGGGCATGCATGTACACATGCCTGGTGTGTATTTTTAGATCACTGGTACTAGGATTTGAATAGTAATAGATTATGTGAGATCCAGCTCCCATAACCACTAGGGTATGAGGTTGACTCTAAACTTTTTTTTTCCCACTTAATTTATAGCAAATGTATGCTTACTGGAGACAAAGAGAGGAAAAATGAGAAAGCACTCCTCCCCAGGGAGGATGACCACACCACAGTCTCTTACCTTCTTAAGATTTTGGACACATATGCACATGCATCCAGCATGATTTTCAAGCCTCTGCGTATGGAACTTGGATTATACAGTTGGTCATATGGGATCCAGCCACCTTCACCAAGCCATCTGGCTGGCCCTGGCCCTTCCTTTTTTAATTTTCCTCTCAAAGTCTCAGTCTTGCAAAATAGGCCCTTCATTTTTTTTTAAGTGTTATTTAATTGTATTATTATTATTATTTTTCAATTTGCTATAGAAGATGTGTACCCTCTAGAGATGGAGATGGGGAAAGTGAGAAAGCAGGCCGGTCTGGGACTCTAACTGCAGTTGTCAATGTTGGAGTCCAGAGCCTTAACCACCATGCCACCTGCTGGCCCAAGCCCTTTGTTTATTGATTTATTTTAGAGGTTTTTGCCTTAGAGTGTGTGCACTCACCAGAGTGGGGGTGGGCATAGTAAGAGGGAAAGTAAGAAATCACCCCCGCGGGGGATGACCATGCCAAATCCTTTCTCTTTCATTCTTTTCCTGGGATCTTGGACATGTGCACACATGTGCCTGGTGTGAGTTTTAAGCCATCGGGTCTGGGACTCAAAGCGCAGTTGGCCATGTCCAGCAATGTAACCACTATGTCATCTGTTGGTCCCAAGACCCTTCATTTTAAGTAAGGAGTTGTGGTCAATCCTTCTAACTTTTTAATTTTTACTGTGATTTTAAGTTTATTTATTCCATGATAGACACACAAAGATAAGAGTCATCCTCAATAGGGTCTTCATGCCGCAATCTACCCCCAAATCTCAGCTGGCTCAGATCACAGGCATGTGTGTGTACACCAGCATTACTGAGGGAGATCCCAGGATACGAACTCAGAACCTTTCATGCAGGTCCAGTTGTGTTACCATTCTGCCAGTACCTGGCCCTTAATTTTTACTTTTTAAAATTCTTTATTTCTTTATTACATAGGAAAAAGATAACAAGAGAGAAAGACAAGCACTTTCAACAGGGCTTATGCTGTGATCACAGGTGTGTGCCTATGCCTGGCATGTATAAGTCTACCCAGGACTTCCATTTGAACCCTGGTCTTCCATTTGAACTTAGGCATTGTGGAGTGGCATCTACTTTTGTGCCACCATTTCTGGGCCCTCTTTAAATTTTGTTTTGTTTCTTTGAAAATCAAGACATTTACCTATCTTTAGCATTCTTGTTAATCTCTCTTTTCAAAAGATACCTTTAAGGTGACTGATAGCGGTTCATCAAACTCTTGCTGAAGTTCTTTCCATGTCCCAGGACATAAATTGACGGGCCAGATAACTTAATCTCGCCACCCACTCGCTTTTCCTGTCTCTTCTGCTGGTAAGGCTTTGCCCTTCTTTTGTCTTGGCATCCCCTTGATAGAGGCCCGAGTTGTGGCTAGGATTTCCACCTAACTGGATCACAACAAAGAAGGCTGTTTGCTGTCTTCATTCCACTTCTGTGTGTGTTTTCAGTTGTAGGCTTGTTGGGGCCTGCCAGCTCCAGAGGTGACAGACAGTTGGTTCTCAGTGCTAGAAAGTGGGAAGCATTTTATTCAAGCACGTAGTTTCAGCCTGTTCATTTTAGGTTCCTTCTCTTGTTATCAGCAATAAGGAACATTGCTGTTGCTGTATGTCATGTGCTATGGAAGTTTCCTTCTGGTCTTCCAGTGAATTTGGGTCATTACTTCCGGCACCTGCCTTTTATTTACTGTTAAGTAAAATGTGTTATTTCTAGGAAAGACAAATCTTAGTTGAAGACCACCAGGAAGAACATAATAGAAATGAGAAGAAGATTCAGCTGATGAAAGAGGAATTCATAAAAAAGGAAGCAGAGTGGAAAGTTGCAAGTGAGGACCTAAAGAGAAAAGCAGAAGAAAAATTAACCTTGATGCTCCTTGAAGTGAGAGAAAAGGCAGAATCTGAGAAACAGTCAATAATCAATAAGTTTAAGCTTAGAGAAACTGAAATGAGGCAACTTCAGGACCAGCAGGCTGCCCAGATTCTGGACCTGGAGCAGTCTCTGACAGAGCAGCAGGGTCGCTTGCGGCAGCTGGAACACGGTCTCACCGGGGATGAGGCCCTGCCATGTAGCCCCTGTGGCCAGGACCCTCCCACACCCCACGAGGAGGACTACACCCTGCAGCTGATGCTAGCTCGAAACAGGTGGGTGCACGGGCTGGAGCCACCTGCCCAGTCTCATGTGAAGCAAGACCCCTGGTTGTAGAAAGACTTAGAAGGAAAATAGTGCAAGATGTGACATAGAGTTTATACCTGAACCCACAGCAAGACAGTTTTGCATCCTGAATAAAGACGTGCTGTAGGAACAGCACCCAGATACGCCCTCCAGCCAGAGCCTGTGCTGCTTTGTGGACATTAGTGGGCATGCAAAGTTTACTGCCTTGATGCTTTGTTTTCACTTTTCAAAATTTTCAATAGCAGAACCATACATACATTTATGAGGTATCATACGTCATGTGGACATGTAGTTTAGGCACATAAGTAGTAGTGTGCTTTTTTTTTTTTTTTTTTTAACTTGAATAGATGATTCTTTAAAATATTTTTCCTAAATAAATGCAGAAATCCTTACCTGCAGTTTTAAGTGATGCATGGTATGACCAGGCTCTTTACCTCCTTTGCTGTTGGCTCAGCTCCTTCTCATTTACCCACACTAACCTCAGCCCAGCACTGCAGTGGCGTGCATTGTGCTCAGATTGGAGAACTTAGTTCAAATCTAGGCCATAACCTGAGCCAGTTGGATGTGGGCAAGATGTATAGTTTCATAAGACTGTGATGCTCTCACAGTGCTGAGGCTTCAGTGAGATTCCCTCTGGAAAACACATTCATGGCATTGATGGACACTAGCCCATGGAGATGGTCATAGCTCTTACTGTTGGTGAGAATATACAAGGCACAGAGTACCATCTGCCAAGTGCCCTTGGGAGCATCTTAGATCCAGTGGGCTTCTGTTCCTTCTGTAGAATTTAGTCTTGTTGCCCATCACTGTCTCTGCCACCAGCACCACCTGCAGTTGTCTGTGAACCATAGCATGCTACTCTTCTTGGGTCTCCTGACTCCTCTCATGGCCCTGTGGGCACCTGTAGGCAATAATCCCCTACCCACTTCCCGATCCCCTCCCCCACCATGGTGGTATTGGTGTAGGAGAACCTGGGTTGGATGCACTGTCATGAGTCTGTGTATGGTCAAGCCTGTGCTGTGTTCCTATAGGGATGCGTGGGTTCTCTCTGTGTATTCTTGTCCTCCCTTCAGTCTGACCTGGAGAGTCTGTGGCTCTGGCCTTTGACCCCTGAGTACCTCTGACTTTGTGGGGACATCTCCCTCTTATTTCTAGTGGTGGAGGGCTTGGATCATTTATAGCAGAAGGTGTTAATGGGTGAAATCTAGGAGTGATCATCTGAATGGCTAAAGTAGTATTTCCTTAGGAAGTGTGACCTGGGGTTTCCAAGGAGGCTTAGTACTTACAACTCAGGTTTGGCTGGCTGTTTTTATTTCACTGTCATTTCAGGCTTTTGGAAGAACGGAAAGCGATGGCAGAGAAATTTGCCACAGACCAGGATGCTTTCCTGCGGGAGGCCCAGGAGCAGCATGCCCATGAGCTCCAGCTCCTTCAGGAGAGACACCAGCAACACCTGCTGTCTGTGACAGCAGAGCTCGAGGCGAGACACCAGGCTGAACTTGGGGAGCTACTGGCTTCCTCAGAGACCAAATGGCAAGCTCTCCTCGGTGCTCGTGTGACTGAACTGCAGAAGAAACATGCTGCTGAAGTCAGTGCTCTGGAGGCTAGGCACCTGTCCAGCCTGGATTCCTTGGAGTCCTGTTACCTGTCTGAGATCCAGACCCTACGGGCTGAGCATAGGGCAGCCCTGGAGCTGCTGCAAGCAGACCTGGAGGAGCAGCTGCACAGGAGGGACTCTTCTCACCAAAGGACTTTGACCCAGGAGGTGGAGAGGCTGAAGCTCAAACATGATGAAGAGCCACGACCTGTGGAAGACAGCTCAAGAGTTGAGGTGAGCAGCAGGCACACTGCAAGCTCGAAAACCCTGGCTGCCAAGCTATAGAGGGTGCATTGGGTGGGGGCAGACTTTGCCAGTTCAGGGCAGGTCTTTCCTAAGGCCTGAGTGCTCCAGCTGCACATCAAGGTGTTATCTGTGTGTGCATCTATGTGGGCACATGTGCATGTGCATCTGCACAGGGGATTTTGAGTATTTCCAACTCCTGCTGCTGATGCTGTTGGTGACCAGGTATAGGACAGTGGGTTCTTGGGGTTATTTTATCACACACTTCTTGGTAACGGCTGTGATCTTGGATCCTAGAATAGCGTGTGTATGTGTGAGTACACAGACTTCTTCCTAGGTTTCCACAGCTTGTACAGTGTCCTTTTTTTTTTTTTATTTCAATTTTAAATTTTTATTAAAAAAGTAATATATTAACCCAAAAGTGCACATACTTATGTGTACAGACTGAATTCTCATGAACAACGCATCTGTGACTCCAGAACCCAGAATAAGAAATGCAATATACCAGCAACTTGACAAACTCCCTTCCAAGTTACTACCTATAATGACCCCAAAGTTAAACACTGTATTGCTTTCTTATAGAACAACCTTGTCTGATATAAATATAACTATTGTGTATACTTTTATTCCAAATATCTTTGTTTTACATTTTGCTCATGAGATTTATTCTTCTTTGGATGTAAGACACAGTTCTTACTTTTTTTTCCCCAATGGACGTTTTATGTTTGTTTTTTTCCTTTTTAATTTATCTTATTTTTTTGTATATACTTTCAATCATATTGTTTGGCTTACAATAAGACCATTTCGATATGTGCACATTTCTCCCCAGACCCGTTGATCAAAATATCTTCAGCAGATAACACCACACCTCCCCATCCCGTCAATGCTCAGCCTGTACAGTGTCCTTAAGGCTGACCTGAGTCTCTGTGGTAAGACTTGGTTTCAAGGCTATAGTAGAAAGATTGACTTTCACATAGTGCACACTCGGCCTCAGTTCCCCCTTTGTTGATGTTTCCTGAAATCAAGCCCTTTTGTTATATTTCAAGAGCAGTTACCATCCCTTTGGCAGGCACTTTACGTTTTTAGTATGGATAGGAATTTCTGGAGAAGTCCCTGTTGCTGTGGGCTGGCACCCGCCTGTAACACCTGTCACTCATGAACAGAAAAGAACACTTTTATGAGTCAAAGCCTGTCTTAATGTATACCCTCTTTATATCCTCTGTTCTCATTAGCCTCTCTGTAGCATTTTATCCCTTCAAAGGGATGAGGCTGTTCTGTTGAGGCTGGAGGTGGCCAAGAGTGCTGTCTATCTCTCTGCAGGGAGAGTTGTATACCTTTAGCATAGGGTCAGTGTTAGAGGGTCTGGCGTTGATGATACTATTGGAAGTGGCTGTTCTGGAGATTATGTAGGAGTACATATCCCAAATGATGGGTTAGGGAGTTTCAGGCTCACATAAACACACACATCAGGTAGAAATGTCATTACCTGCCACAAATGCGCTTCATCAGGAAAGTGCCCAGCGAGCGTTCCATCCTTTGCTTGTTTGGATAATGATTGCGAAAGGCTCTGAAATCTCAGTTCACTGAGGCCTTCCTTTAGCTTAGGGAAGAAGATAGAAAAGTAGCCTGACTTGGATGACTGTCAGGGCCTGTTATGCCCCAGTGGCCTGTTCTTTGTGGTCCCACGCTGTGGTCTCAGAAATGTTCCTAAAAGCAGAGTGCACTCAGGCTTTCTCTGTTGTTCATAGGGGGTTGCTGGCAGTTTGGTTTCCATATCCTGTCCTTGACGTCACCTGGTGGCAGGGCTTATGTCAAGAGAGTCCTGGGGATGGGCTTCTGTAGAGAGGATAGAACCCAGTCGTCCTCTGGGCCTGAATCTCAGGAGAAGCCTGCCTTGGGGGAGCCACTGTCCTAGAGCATCACAGCTTCATTGTACTCTATTCACAGCTCTAATCCCGTCAGAGGGCTACTGTGGAGAACTACTTGCAACCTGTAGGTTTAGTTCCAAATTCTTTTTTTTTTCTTTTAAAGAGAGATTTTTGCTAATAGGGTATGTGCGCTCCTCAGAGAGACAAGAAACAAGAAATCAAGCCCGAGGGGGGTTAGCCATGCTGCAGTCACTTCTCATTCTCCTCTCAGGATTTTGGGCACACATACACAAGTGCTTGGCATGAGTTTTAAACCACTGGGTCTGGGACTCAAACCTCAGTCAACTTTGTGCGAGTCCAGTGACATAACCATTACACGATCTGCTGGTCCTAGCAACCTGTAGGTTTAAATGAGGTATTTGGTTTATTTGGTTTAAAGGCAATAAGGTTCTGAAGAATATTCAGAAAGGATGAATGTGTATATAGCACATGAAAACCATGTGTTTTAAACCATGGCTTAACATTAATGGCCCAATTCCATTGTAGGAAGCACATGGAGTCTTTACTCCCTTGAAGACTTAGCAGGGGTTCTGGGAAGTGGTGCCCTGGGCATGATTGACCCAGGGTGCCTCTGGCAGTGTGTCACCCTGTGGATGCTCTCTCCAGGAGGAGTTGGCCATGGCCCTGCAGGAGCAGAGGCACCTGCTAGAGGAGAGAGAAGTGGCCCTGGTCAAGGCAGGTACTGAAGCATTGCTCCTAGAATGCCAGCTGCAGGTAGCTCCACAAGAGCTTGCAGGGATGCACACGGCTGAGATGCAGAGGCAGCCAGCTGAGCAGGCAGGGGCTGCACAGGTGAGCAGTTCCCATGGATGCCCCTGGTTCCTGCCACGTTGTCTTCAGCAGATCCATTCAGTGTGTGACAAGCATGGTGCTGTTATCTCCATGCTCAAGGTATATGGCTTCTAGAAGCTGTGAGTGTTGACTGCCTCTTCCAGAGAGATAGAGGCAGGCACCTGTGTGGTGTCACAGTTGGGATCTGGAGGGCGCACCTCAACCCACCTTGAAGGCTGTCAGTGGCCTGTGGAGTGACATATACAGATCTATCCTAAAGGCTACTTGAAAGCTGGGTGCAGAGAGGTTGGAGACAACTGCTGGTCCAGGCAAGAGCTGACCAGAGATTGTTTGAAGTAGTGGGGAGAGACCCTGGCTCTAGGCAGATGTTGGGTGGGCAGGTGCAAGGGGTTCTGCTGACGGTGGTGCATGGAAGGGTGTGGTGAGCCAGAGAGAACTCCAGAACCCAGAATAAGAAATGTAATATACCAGCAACTTGACAAACTCCCTTCCAAGTTACTACCTATAATGACCCCAAAGTTAAACACTGTATTGCTTTCTTATAGAACAACCTTGTCTGATATAAATATAACTATTGTGTATACTTTTATTCCAAATATCTTTGTTTTACATTTTGCTCATGAGATTTATTCTTCTTTGGATGTAAGACACAGTTCTTACTTTTTTTTCCCCAATGGACGTTTTATGTTTGTTTTTTTCCTTTTTAATTTATCTTATTTTTTTGTATATACTTTCAATCATATTGTTTGGCTTACAATAAGACCATTTCGATATGTGCACATTTCTCCCCAGACCCGTTGATCAAAATATCTTCAGCAGATAACACCACACCTCCCCATCCCGTCAATGCTCAGCCTGTACAGTGTCCTTAAGGCTGACCTGAGTCTCTGTGGTAAGACTTGGTTTCAAGGCTATAGTAGAAAGATTGACTTTCACATAGTGCACACTCGGCCTCAGTTCCCCCTTTGTTGATGTTTCCTGAAATCAAGCCCTTTTGTTATATTTCAAGAGCAGTTACCATCCCTTTGGCAGGCACTTTACGTTTTTAGTATGGATAGGAATTTCTGGAGAAGTCCCTGTTGCTGTGGGCTGGCACCCGCCTGTAACACCTGTCACTCATGAACAGAAAAGAACACTTTTATGAGTCAAAGCCTGTCTTAATGTATACCCTCTTTATATCCTCTGTTCTCATTAGCCTCTCTGTAGCATTTTATCCCTTCAAAGGGATGAGGCTGTTCTGTTGAGGCTGGAGGTGGCCAAGAGTGCTGTCTATCTCTCTGCAGGGAGAGTTGTATACCTTTAGCATAGGGTCAGTGTTAGAGGGTCTGGCGTTGATGATACTATTGGAAGTGGCTGTTCTGGAGATTATGTAGGAGTACATATCCCAAATGATGGGTTAGGGAGTTTCAGGCTCACATAAACACACACATCAGGTAGAAATGTCATTACCTGCCACAAATGCGCTTCATCAGGAAAGTGCCCAGCGAGCGTTCCATCCTTTGCTTGTTTGGATAATGATTGCGAAAGGCTCTGAAATCTCAGTTCACTGAGGCCTTCCTTTAGCTTAGGGAAGAAGATAGAAAAGTAGCCTGACTTGGATGACTGTCAGGGCCTGTTATGCCCCAGTGGCCTGTTCTTTGTGGTCCCACGCTGTGGTCTCAGAAATGTTCCTAAAAGCAGAGTGCACTCAGGCTTTCTCTGTTGTTCATAGGGGGTTGCTGGCAGTTTGGTTTCCATATCCTGTCCTTGACGTCACCTGGTGGCAGGGCTTATGTCAAGAGAGTCCTGGGGATGGGCTTCTGTAGAGAGGATAGAACCCAGTCGTCCTCTGGGCCTGAATCTCAGGAGAAGCCTGCCTTGGGGGAGCCACTGTCCTAGAGCATCACAGCTTCATTGTACTCTATTCACAGCTCTAATCCCGTCAGAGGGCTACTGTGGAGAACTACTTGCAACCTGTAGGTTTAGTTCCAAATTCTTTTTTTTTTCTTTTAAAGAGAGATTTTTGCTAATAGGGTATGTGCGCTCCTCAGAGAGACAAGAAACAAGAAATCAAGCCCGAGGGGGGTTAGCCATGCTGCAGTCACTTCTCATTCTCCTCTCAGGATTTTGGGCACACATACACAAGTGCTTGGCATGAGTTTTAAACCACTGGGTCTGGGACTCAAACCTCAGTCAACTTTGTGCGAGTCCAGTGACATAACCATTACACGATCTGCTGGTCCTAGCAACCTGTAGGTTTAAATGAGGTATTTGGTTTATTTGGTTTAAAGG